AGTGAATTGTTACATCCCTACCAATTATTATTATGAAGTTACTTTTATTATTAAATTTAAATTACAATTAATTTGCTCCGCAATATTACCACATAACTAAGGCATTGCGAGGATAACAAAATAGGCTATTTACTCCTCAATTACCATGTTGTAAAAAAAGGTATTTTAAAACAGGTCTATTATACAATATAATATAATATTATATTCTGTTCCTCTGATGCCTATAATTAGAAAAATATTAACACGGCAGTCATCAATAAAAGCTTTATTTCAAGCACTGACTTTCAAAAGCAACCAGTTTAACACAAAATGTGTTTCTTATTTTGTTTTTTACTATGTACAGGCCACAAGAGAAATATAAAAGGAATAAATAAAATCAGTTATCTATATACTGTTATCAGCATATGTAGAAGTAGATTCGTCTCTCATCATCTCTGAGAGAATATGTGGTGCAGATGCCGAAAGCTCTGTCATTACTCCGTCATTCTGTTTTTACTTTCACTTTCTGCATTGACTGAGATTAGGACGTTTACCGGCATAACTCTTGCGCAAAGTTTGCATGTTGCTTGTGTGATATCCATTGGCTCACCTTCATGGTTTAAAACAGAAATATTTCCAACATTGTGACGTAAGCAATTATCCCCCCCCCTTATCGAAAACGTACCGAACCATGAATTTTGCGAACCGTCACACCCCTATTAGAAAGCCATGTAAAATTAATGTAAGTTCAACTTTTAAAAAACATGTCTCAAGACTTTATGGCAGTTTTTCTGCATCCCACTGCATCTCATATTTTTAAATGAAGGAAGTACTCTTTGTGATTGGTTTTCGGTCCTTTGTATTAAACTGTACATACATACATGATGCTGTTTTGTTTTTAATTGTTTAAGCAACGTAATTAATTATATATGGTTTATAAACATAATTTTAATTCAAGTCATATAGATTTGGAATGATGACAGAATTTTTTTGGGTGAACTAACCTTTAACAGAATCAAAATTGTACTAAGCTGGCTCAAAAATTCATGCTGGTCTTTTCAGCAGAGACTACTGTCATTTCTTTTTAGTTACAAGAATTTAGAGAGTCAAAACTACCAGTTTCTCACCTTAATTCTCAGTTCATTGCATTCAGTGTTGCGATTGTCCAGCTCTCTTAGAAGAAAGTCCACTTGAAGAGCCATTTCATCATCTACATTTTCAAAAATGCTCGTTGTTGATGAGTGTTCCTCATTCTTAGCCTCATCCTGTGCCTCTTTTTCAGCTTTGCTTTGCAACAACACCTCCTGTTTCACTTTTAGCTCATCCCTCTCTTGCATAAGCTCGTTGATGGACTGGGTGGCCTGCAAGTAGAGAGTCTTATAGTGCTGTTCCTCTGATGGATCTGTCTGGATGCTCTGATGGCTGCAATCCTTCTTTATGGTGAGATTTAAAAGTTTGATTTCTTTCTCCTGAGCTTGCTCTCTGAATTCATCTCTCTCCTGGGCTGTGGCCTCTAGAAGATCTAGCAGGTTATCCTGTTGCTTCTGTGCTTCACGTGTTGGCATAATGTCTATTTCTATGTCAGAAAAAAGTGAGGCTTTGGAAGTTGATGTCATACCTTCCTGGTTTTCTACATATGACTTTGCATGTTGTTCAAAACTGATCTTATTCTCCTTAGGTATCTCCTCTATTTCTTCAAGATTTGGTCTGAAAACTTTTACGCTACTACATCTCTCTATCTCCATGGGGATTTCTGTATTGTTACTTTTCCTGCTTTCCACCTTAGTAGCACTCTGTTCCATCCTTCTCGCATCATTCTCAGTCTCTTCCTTCTTGATCTCACCTTCTTCCTTTCTTATCTGCTCGTCTTTCTCCGCCTTGACAATGAAACGCTCTGTTTGGGTTGTTATGCTTGTTTGGCCACTGGAAGTCGATGCCTCCATTGTTTCCTTTCCGGTGTTTTCAGTTTCCATGGAAGCTTGATCACTACAGTCCATATATAATCCTGGTGCATCTTCGCTGGTCTTTTTTTCCATCTTCACCTTAGAAAGGTCAAAGGGTTTGGGTCTTGGCGTGCTGTGGGTTTCATCAATAACAACATCATCGTAGTCACTGCTCTCGACATTGTTTTCATCAACTTCATTACCATCATCATCTGCGATCTCCAAAGGTGAGGTTATGACATCTGATGTAGCTGCGGATGTTGATGGACTACCTGCTGGTGTGATGCTACAGCAGTCATGTAATGTTCTTGCTCTTTTTAGAGTTTGGCTCTGGGATAAACCAAGACTTCTTTTTGTTCTGTAGAAGAAATTATGATGATTAAGTAATGGTTATCATTTCAAAGGTCTTGAAACAAAACATTTCATGATGTTAAAAAGTCTAAGTGCATTCCTAAAAGTTAGCAATTCAATCTCTTATTTGACTAGTAAATATTCTCTAAAATGATAACATCCACTTCTAAAAACATCACCAACTAAAAATAGCAAGTACCATATATTTTTGCCTAGCTATAAAACAAAAGGTTACTGATGATTTTGATAATTTTTTCTTCTGTGCTCAATTCAGCAATCATTAAAAGGACACAGGGCCTGTCCAAATACCCACACTTGTGGTTTTGGCCACCTGAGAGTGTGTGCACATAACAGGAAGTAAGTAAAAAAAAAAGTTAGAAACGCTAAAGCACAGTGCCCTTAACGTACACTAAATCAACACTGCTTCAATGCGATATTCGAGGCTAAGCGTATCCCATCATGCATCATGTTCTGGAAATAAATTGTGAGACTTTTTGCTCAGATCCCGTGAGATGTCACAGAGACCATTCCAGTGCAAATTAAATATTAATGATAATAAGATATTACATCCATATTGTCGATCCATATTGGTGGATGAAAAATAAAATTGCAAGTCATTTGTAAAAGAAACTGTTTTGCTTTTTTATTGTTTTGTTCTTAACAGACAGTTAAGATAATTAGCGCATGGTACATTTTTGTCATACCAATTTCACAGCATGTACCCACAGTCACCAGACTTCATCTTCCCTTTTTACTGAGCCTTGGGCTGTCACAGAGACATGTGATTTCTCAGAACATCCATTTCAATGGTATCTCTTCTTAACAGCTTACAACTGCTTTAACTGTAGGTTAAAAGTCACTACTTCTATAATTATCCTAGGACCTATTCTCCTTTTTCTTGAATCCTGCTGGAGGTAAATCATTTTACAAGCTAAACAATGAAAAGTCAGATTAAACAAACCTGAACTGGGGGTCTGGATTTAATCGACAGAACCATTTTTCAGGGAGCTTATTCATGTCAATGCCATCTGGAAGTTTCCTCCATTTCAGACAATAATCACACTGAACCCAGTTCTGATCAGGACGCTTCCTTTATGTTAAACAAAGAACAAGGGTTATACATGGAAAAAGAAAGAAATTAAATGTTTTGAAGTTGCATGTGAGTGTATACTAACGGGATATCCTCCATAGGTACTGTAGTGTTTAATCCCTTCTTATGGCAGATTGCTTTCCAATACTCTTCCAGTTTCACACCCAAAGTGTTCATGGTTTTCCTGTGTGGACAAATAATAAGCAGCTTAGACTGCTATATTATTGATTTTTTGTTTTAGAAAACAAAATTTGCTCCTGAAAACTTGTTAAATGAGTTATTAACTCAAATAGAAAAGAGCTTGTTCATTTAGTTCAACAGTCCAGTATGAGAACAGAACTTAACAAGGGTTTGGGCAATTCTTGTAATTACCTGAATTGATTGTAACCCTGCCTGCCTCATCAAAAACCAAACGCTGAATTGCAAATGTGCTCACAAAATAAGATATTCATAATTAGTCAAAACAATTTAAATGCAAATATTTGTTATACAGTTAACATCAGAATTTATATAATGTATTTGACCATATATAGTATGTATACGTTCCAGACAGTTCTATATGTACTAACACACGTGTCAAACTCAGCTCCTGGAGGGCCACTTTCCTGCACAGTTTAGCTCCAACCAACTGCAACACACCTATTTGGACGTTTCTAGGGCTGTGCTCAAAATCACCCCTTACACCCTCATTCACTATTCCCCACATTAGTCCACTAATATAGCCCAGTTGAAAAAGTGAATGAAAACGAGTGAGCGAATTCAAGACACTGAGTGTTTCTCTCTGAGATGAGTAAGAGAATTCGGACAGTGAGTGCACTGGAGGTGCAGTCACTTTTGCATAGTTTGTGCTTGGTAATCTTAATCTTAATAGTTTCAATAATAATCTTTTGAAACTAAGCACACTGGCAGCTCCAGTAGTAATGAAAAGATTTATCTCCAATTTGACATTTTTATCAAAAATTCTGGAAAACGTTGTTGCGGCTCATGATCATCTCTCAGTGAATAACCTATACAAACAATTTCAATCAGGTTTTTGTTCCTATCATAGTACCGAGACTGCCCTGTCAAAATTTCTAATGACTTATTGGTAGGGTCTGACTCAGGACAATATCTATATTCATTCCTCTTGATTTCTGATTCATCTCTCTGGTCATACTCAATTTGTTCAACTAGACCAGTTTAAATGTAAGTCAACACGTATTACTACAGGTGTCCCACAGGGATCAGTTCCGGGCCCTTTGTTATTTATCATTTATTTACTGACACTTGGAAGCATTTTTAGGAAATATGCTATGCATTTTCACTGTTGCGCCAATGACTCCAAGCTCTATTTATCCTCAAAACCTACTTCCGAACTTCCTTCATCCTCTCTTTTTAACGGTTTGTCTGAAGTTAAAGCTTGGTTTTCAATTAATTTTCTTAAACTTTACAGTAGTAAAACAGAAATATTTCTCTATGTGCATCAATGTATTTACAATAGCTCTTTCAATGCAGGTTAAGAGATTGGATGTTCTCCTCAACAATACTTATTTTAATCTTTTGAAGCAATACTTTTAATTTTAATCTTTCAATACTTTTAATCTTTTGAAGCACATATTAACAAGGTTACTCGGACGGCTTATTATCACATAAGTAACATTAATCACCTCTGCTCAGCACTCTCAACAAGGAGCACTGTCATTATGTTTCACGCTCTTGTCACTTCACGTATTGACTATTGCAATGCTCTGTTTTACGGTCTCCCTCTTAAACTTTTACACAAGTTACAGTTAGTACAAAATTCAGATGCACAAATAATTACTAGAACTCCTACTATGGAACACATATTTCCTGTTCTTCAAAAACTTCCTGTTAAACAGAACACAGAATTCAAAATTTAGCTTCTTGTTTATAAGGCATTACATAGGTTAACCTGGCTCCTTCTTTCTTATCTGAACTACTTTCAACATATACTCACTCTCAAACTCTTAGATCCTCTGCTACATTCTCTTTAGTTCTTCCTCAGATGCATTTGGCTTCTATGGGATCTTGAACTTTTAGCTATGCTGCTCCTCATCTGTGGAACTTGCTTCCACAGGACATTCGTAATAGTGACTCTCTCCCTATTTTTAAATTTTGTTTGAAAACACATCTTTTTAAGCAGGCATACCGGTGATTTTTTATATGTCTTGTGATGATGTAAAGATTTTAATGCTGGCTTAGAATTTTATTGTTGCTTGTTAATTGTTTTCCATGTTTTATTTGCATGTAAGGTATATATTAGTGTCACAAAAGGCACCTATAAATAAGATGTATTATTATTATTATTTTGAACTCTGTCATGGAAACGAGCATGTAAAAACACCGTTTAACAATCAATTAAAAAGAAATGTTATACCTGTTTGATATTACACAGTACCCACATTGGACAAGCTGTTTGAAAAGTGGATGGATGGATGATTTAGCTGCATACACCATCTTCTGGCGAGACACAGGTATTCATTCGGCCCAACCCTCACAGTGCATTATGGCTATTCTCTAGCCATTGAGTGTACATTGGTTGTACAATCCTTATTACGGTGCAATATGGGATTGAATAAGGGCACTCAATAACATCCACTATGGTTTCGGACACCCCTACTAATGACCATTCCCTTAAATAGTGCCCTATTTTAGGGTATAGGGAGTGATTTCGGACACAGTCTAGCATTACTAAAGACTTTGTTTAGCTGGATCAGGTGTGTTTAATTAGGGTTGGAGCTAAACTCTCTGGAGCAGGACAGTGGCTCTCTAGAAGCTGAGTATGACGCCCCTGTACTAACAGAAAACAATAATTGTAAACTTACACTTAAATGGTTCTAAACTAAAATTTCAATCCACCTGTACATTATTACTCTCACCTGTACTCTTCTGTGTAGTCAAAGTCCTGCTTGTTGTGTGTTGGCTTAAGGAAGTTGCACTCAATCACTGCAATGACTCCCACTCCTTTTTCATTTGCCTAATTGCAAAATCAAGATTGAAATTGCATTCAGATACTCCAAGTAGCAAAAATAAAAAACTATAAAACATTACTTTGTCACACTAAAGTACGTGGCAAAGGGGGTGGTTAGGCACACAAAATTATATAAAAAATGTAAATAATTACCTTGGTTTGACATCCAACACGTTCATAGGCTTTGATGAGCCTGTTTTTATGGTACATCATGACTCCATAATGGTCTTTGCTCTTTGTGTTGTAGCCAAATATGATGGGTATGCTTTCTCTCTGAGAAGAAAAGACTTAAGGAAAGCTCACTATGTAATGTATGTATTCAATGAGTGGGTTTGTCAAGTTGCTTTCATGTTCAAAAAACAAATTCAAGTTAACACCTATTTTTCCAATAACTACATTTCAAATAGTTATGATGTATAAGGTTTTCTTTGGGAAACAGGAAATCACATCTTGCACCTATATGATTGGTTGGATACATTTAGAAAGTTGGGTTTGTATTTATCCTTGACAATGTTTGCCAGGCTTTTAGAGATCAGTTGGGTTTTCACTTTCTGTCCACGAATGATAATCTGCATTCTGGGCTTCAAGTATAGGATACTACAGTATGCCTACAAAAAGAAAACATGAATACAGACACATACAGTATTACTGTTATGCTCTGTGAACTGTAATGCATAATGAAGTAGACAACGGTAATACAATATGTAGACTGCAATGTGTTAGACCTTCTCAGCATAGGAGTGTGAAGTACTCACCTGCAGGGAGAAGTCACTCTCTGGGCTTGACTGAAATGAGTGAGACGGTTGCTTGTATTTCTCCTTTTCACTCTCATATACTTCAGATGGAATCTGGATGTCATAGCGGTCTGTGTCAAAGTCAAACTCAGATTTATCTGTGGATGTTCTGTAGCAGAAAAAAAAACATTTCCTGAAACATTTAATCTATCCATTCCTAGGCCTGGTAGCTCAAGAGAATGGCCCTGATCTACAATATCAGCAGATCTTTTGATTCTCACTTGCGGAGGTTCCAGATGATGATTCGTGTTCCTGTGGACTCTGTGTCATAGTGTGCATTGATGGCATTGAGCTCACAGAGAAGCTCCGCCTCCGTCTGGAACAGAGAGTAGCGCAGGATATCTTGAAGACTTGCCGCGTGTTGTGACTCAGGTCGGAGTGAGAGGAAAGGTCAAGGATACAGACATCAAATCGAGAATATAAATATATGCTGAAACTCTTACCTAAAAACAACTTATACAACTTATTATTGAAACTCACTCGACTATAAGAGCTTACAATCAAATGCATACAGAAATTAGTCACTGGACTCTTAATATATGTAATATCTCTCTCATACCCTCTTCATCTCTTATATCATGCCAAATATTCTATTATATCCTATGTAGTCCATTCATTTAAGCCTACTCTTGTCTTTGCTTATTAAGAAGGTAAGGATATATGACTGTCCGATGCGTTTGAATGAGACAATGGGTACAATGACATTCTCCACATGCATCTCCCGAAGATACGTCTGGGACAGAAGGCCCACACACATGGACTCTCCATTCTTGGAAAACACAATGGTGTCCTTTCCTAAGCGCATGGAACCAGACTTGAATCCATTGCCGTAGAGGCCCACAGGGACATGGCCGTTTATAGTCTCCTTGTCACTGAAGCCAAAACTGAGAGGCAGAGGAACACAGTATGTTATATAGTAAAACTTTAAAAAAAGAAATTAATACTTTTATTCAGCAAGGATGCCCTAACTTGATCAAAGTGAGTTAAAACATTACTATGATACAAAGAAAAAAATCTATTTCAAATAAATGCTACTCTTTTGAACTTTTTTTCATCAAAGAATCCTAAAATATTATTTACAGTTCCAACAAAAATACTAAGAAGCAACTGTTTTCAACACTGATAATGGGAAATGTTTCTTGAGCACCATATTAGCATATTACAATGATTTCTGAAGGAATTTTAATATTATTTCACAATATTACAGGTTTTACTGTATTTTTTATTAAATAAATGCAGCAAGAGACCGAAAAATGTTTTAAAATCTTACTGAGCAATGGTAAGTGTATATATATACAAAAAAAGACATTTAGAGTGTTACAAAAGCCTTCTTTTTCTTTTTTAAATAAATGCTGTTCTTCAAACTTTCTATTCATCAAAGAATCCTGAGAAAATACACTGTTTCCACAAAAAAAGACATTTAGAGTGTTACAAAAGCCTTCTTTTTTAAATAAATGCTGTTCTTCAAACTTTCTATTCATCAAAGAATCCTGAGAAAATACACTGTTTCCACACTTCGTAAACAATGAACTATTATAATAAGAAAGGGCTCTTAAAGGGTTAGTTCACTCAAAAATGAAAATTCTGTCATTAATTACTCACCCTCATGTCGTTCCAAACCCATTAAGACCTTCGTTCATCTTCGGAACACAAATTAAGATATTTTTGATCAAATCTGAGAGCTCTCTGACCCTCCATAGACAGCAATGCAACCGCAACTGAGTACCCCAGAACGTAATCAACGTAATCAGCATTGTTTATGTGCAGCATGCACGCACTGTCTACCGAACGTAAACAACGCTGATTACGTTGATTACGTTCTGGGGTACTCTCCAAAATGACGGAAGACGGTAACTCTAAAGGTAAATAATTGTTGAATAAATTATGTTATTATTGTTTTCTTTGCGCACAAAAAGTGTTCTCGTAGCTTCGTAAAATTACGGTTGAACCCCTGATGTCACATGGACTGTTTTACCGATGTCCTTGCTACATTTCTGGACCTGGGAACATTGCAGTTGCATTGCTGTCTACGGAGGGTCAGAGAGCTCTTAGATTTAATCAAAAATATCTTAATTTGTGTTCCGAAGGTGAATGAAGGTCTTACGGGTTTGGAACAACATGAGGGTGAGTAATTAATGACAGGTTTTTTATTTTTGGGTGAACTAACCCTTTAAGTACCAAAACTTAACAGCATTTTAGAATGATTTATTAAGGATTATGTAACCCAAATGTATGTTAGTCAACATTGGTTTGTGTTCTCACCCACCTGAGCATTTTGTACATCTTATCGTAATTCATTCCTGCTCCATTATCCATGAAAATTAGACAGTCTTGACCTCTGATTGCCGTCCTATCAATCCAAAACTGTTTGGCACTCACATCTGGGTCGTAAGCATTGTCTAAGGTAGAAAATATATATTATCAGATTATGCATATTTATTAGACTTTGAGTGGCTCTTTACTGAGGTAGCGCTGAACACTAATGAAACATAATTAGTCTGTTATTTCCATACTTGCCCCTGGCTAGCTGTCTTTAAAGGGGTCATATGATGCGATTTCAATTTTTCCTTTCTCTTTGGAGTGTTACAAGCTCTTGGTGCATAAAGAAGATCTGTAAAGTTGCAAAGACTAAAGTCTCAAATCCAAAGAGATATTCTTTATAAAAGTTAAGAGTCAACCACGCCTACCTAAAACGGCTCGTTCTAACACGCCCCCACATATCTACATCACTATGTGGGAAGATTTGCATAACGCCGCCCAAATGTTCACGCAAAGAAAGAAAGCGTAACTTTTATTCTCGCTGTAGTATTGTTGTTGCCGCCGCCATGTCGTGAAGGCACTGTGTGATTCGTTGTGAAAGCGAAACTACTTTGTTTGGAGCTGATCCGTCATGCCTGGAGCTGATCCGTGCTGGTTGCTGAGGAAATACAACAACTTTGCGCTGTCGATCGCCGGATTGGCTTTCACCGTGGACGAAGCGGAGTCCAGCCTGGGGTTGTCACATGTGGTTGCCGCAAGCCCTCCGGATGCTCCTTCGTCGAATGCGCCGACCGCGCCGTTCTCAAGCTCGCCTGCCACTGCTCACTCAACCCGGCCTCTGCTCATTCTAGCCCGCCGTGTGTGACGCTGTTTGTATCGTTGTGAAAGGGAAACTACTTTGTTCCAAAAATGGACACGACTAGAAATCAGTGGTTAAGTTGTATTTACAACACTGTTCCAGAACACGTCAACCCAAATATTCGGATGTGTCCAGCACATTTTATGGAGGACTGTAAGTCATTGTAATCCATAATTATGTCCCAACTGGATGCAACGAATGCCTTGTTTATAATGGGTTTTCATGTTTTTGAATCATAGCTCCGGCCTGACAGGGCATCATCACAATATGGTGAGGGGCGTAACATTTCCGTCACACGCTTAAGGTATTCGGCCAATCACAACGCACTGGATAGCTGGCCAATCACAGCACACCTTGCTTTTCAGAACGATGAGCTTTATAAAAATCGACGCGTTTCAGAAAGGCGGGGCATAGAGGAGAAACAATAACGTACAGTATGTGGAAAATAATGTGTTTTTTTAACCTTAAACCGCATAAACACATTTCATTACACCAAATACACAAAATAATATCATATGACCCCTTTAAGCAATACATCAGATGCAATAAAATTACTCTCATAATTCATTACACACAGTACAAAATGTCATCAAGTATTGCCAATATAGGCAGTGATATGTTTACGTGGGGAAACTAGGTTACAAGTTCATAGTAATCTAACCCTTGAGGGCACACATCCATTGTTCCAAACTGCTAAACACATATTATCACAATGAGCAATATCAGAAGATACCGATAGTTTCGCTCACCTATCAGCTCTGCAATAGCACTGAAGGGCCAGGTGTGGCTGGTGGAGTTGGTGTGAAGGAACTTTGGATTAAGCTATAAAATGATCAAAGACACAGGAAACTTTATAAGTAAAACACTAAAAATACATTTTATGAAACTATGCACTGTTTTATAAAGCAGTGGATCTGGTCATCTGACATAATTATTTCTTCACATTATCAATTTGTGGGTTTAAACATGATTTGTTTGTCATCCATTTTGGCTTGATTTAAAATTCTTTAGTTTGGAGTTTTAAAAGAACCTAGGTTTTATTTCATTATGAGGGTATTTTTTGAAATCATGAACTTTCCTTAAAACACTTCATAAATCATAAGATTTTAATGAGTCTTGTTCAAAACTGTTTAAAAAAAAAACACATAAATAGACAGAAGTAAAAACTTACATTTTTTATTAAGAACATTTTTACTGATGATGCATTAAACCTTCTATGAGAGGCCCGCCATGAGCTTAGAAGTTTTTGTGTTGATAAGGTACATATCATCAGTATCTATACTTTATTTACTATCAATTCTAATACCAGATTTCCAAGGTGGGCCAGGCTTTTGACAAAGTGAAAGGTGATTTTCAAGGGTGTTTTTTCACAACATAAAGAAGATTTTTATGCAGAACGTAAAGATTGCTGGACTTAACAGAAAGTTTGAAGAATAGCTTCTTCTCTTTTGTATAATATATCAAAGTCATGTATCCATAATATAAAATGGCACAGTTAAACTCTGCATCAAAGTAATATCTCATCTGAAAATCACCTGGGACACAAAGTCCTTTAAAATGGTCTATTTAAAGAGTTATAACTGGCACCGGGGTCTGACAGATAATGTACTGGACTATGGAAATACAAAGTTTGAAAAATGTTAGTTTATCATTTCATTATGGAGCCGCTGTTTCTCAGCTACTTTTAAGGGTGAGCTACAGACCACACTAAAGGGGCTGGTGGACTATTAACGTAAAAAGTTTAAAGACACGCGAGCGTCGCGTCGCGTCTTTAAATTGGAACTGGATTTATGCTGGATTAGGCATTTCACTTTGGCATAGAAACGAAACTGAAAATAATATCAGATTTTGAGCTTTTCTGATAGGACGACGAACATATACGTCACCGCTTTATTGTGTATTGCTGTACACCCAAAGCACTTTACAATCATGTGGGGGTCTCTCCTCAACCACCACCAGGATGAGTCATTACATTTCTATTAGCACGGTGCTTCCCACCACGCGTTAATTACACATGTCGGACAAAGAAATGTATTAAATATTCATACCGCACTGAGCGGGATTCCTCTCTCCGTTTGCACAGCCATCCTTGATATGAACAACCCCGCGACGATACAAAACTTCTAGAGACACATGACTGCGACATCCGGGAGGACCGGCCATAGTCTTTGGGCTGACAGACAGTATTTTCAAAATAAGAGCTCAGACATTATATACATTGAATTCATATTCATAATTTGACAATATCCACAATATAATTATAACATAATAATTATATTTGCATTTATTTCATGTATTATCCCTTTAGCTATATATTAGTCTTTCAGTTATTTTTTTTAAAAGGACATTTTGTCCTTTTTTAATGAAAAAGCACACATCATGTCAAATGAAGTAACTCTTGATATTTATGACTAATAAATATAGGATTTTTAAAAATTGCTTTTTGAGACTTTTTGATTTTTTTTTTTTAAAGATGAAGTTTAACTCATGAGTATTGAAGATGTCAAACAAAGAAAGCAGACTTTACTCAATGGCATTTTGTGAGATTACATTAGATAAGATGGGGACTGGACACTTGCACTTTAAACTAGATTTCTCCTTTTTATTATTCCGGACATAGGTTCATTCTTTTTCATTGACATTCACATAAATTAAAAATATGGATGGATTAATTGAGAATTTACTTTGGATATCCAAGATGCACCTTGGATAACCTTTTTTGTACACTTGTTTTGTTCAGATATTTCTTTTAATTTTTCTGAATTATTTCTTCACAACACCAACCGACTGTCGTACTATTATTTTGAAAGGAAATCTGAATGAGATCTATCACTTCCGGTCTGTGCTTGAACAGAAGTAGATATTACAAACAGTACTGGACTAAACTAATTGATCGATGCTTTCAAAACAGTCTCGCATTTAAAGACTCGCTTTTAACATATGGTGAATGCAGCAGTCTTATAGTAAATATTGCGATAGTTGTCGAAGATGTTAGGTTTGGATCTGTCAGCTGGTGAGTAGAATTTGTTACTGTTTTCTTGCAAATGCAGTAGTGATGGCGAAGTGAAGCGTTCTGAACCAGCGAAGCTTTCAACACAATTGTATCGGAAAAAGGTTTATTACTCGAAGCTTCTCGAAACGGTTTATTCTGCGGCCATCTAGTGGTCATAAAAATGACTAACAACTTCCAAAGTGTTATGTTCCATTACAGCCGCTGGTTTCACATCTGGTTCTACAACTGATTCTTTGTTTTATTATATTTTATATAAATAATGTTTATTGTCAAAGTCATTCATTTGTGTCGGTGTACTGGCACTAAAATAAGTAAAATAAATAAAACATAAATTCATAAATTAAATCTATGATCTGTTTATTTGAACTCTTCCTCAGTCCTTCAAAGTTCATTTTGAGCTCAATATATACATTTCGATAAAATAAAATAAAAAAGAAACAATGCAACTTATATAGATATGTTAATATGTACTTTTTATAGAAATCATATGCAGTATAATACTGGGTGATTTTCTGCACAGAACATAATACATCGATATGACCTGCCATTAATAAATAATGTAATTCTGATAAGCTGTGACATTTTTAATTTTTTTCTTGTTCTTTTTTTTTTTATTATTGCAGGTGTGGATGGTGTGGTCGGAAAAATCGAAAAACTCCCCATAGACTTGTTTGCAGAAACGGTAAGATGTGTCATTACATGGTCTGGCCATGTACCATGGGAAGAAAATCATTACAAGTTTGTGCTTAAAAATTGACATATTATCATAGTAGTTATTTAGTGAATGTACTATTTTTAAGTGTTGTATTGACTGTTCTGACACTCGTCTTTTCATTTTCCAGCTTCAGTCAATCCTGGTTCATCTTCAGGATCAGAATAGAGCAGTAGATTTGATTGAAACCGGTGATGTAAGTTCACAAATCTACATCCCTGTTAATATACTAGAAATTAAGCTTTTTTATGTCTTTGCAATGCTTTCATTTCCCTAACAGAAATTTCAAAGAGTTGGGATAAACCTCGATCAGAAAGCTGTTCAAGATATTATAAAACTGATGACATACTATTTTAGGTACAGTATTATCTTTCTAAGTACAGAATGTCATTTATGTATATGTTTGGGAATTAAAAAGGCTTTTTTCAAATCCCCTTTGCATACACATCTCATACTATGCATGTACCTGCTTTTTTATGTCTTTGCAATGCTTTCATTTCCCTAACAGAAATTTCAAAGAGTTGGGATAAACCTCGATCAGAAAGCTGTTCAAGATATTATAAAACTGATGACATACTATTTTAGGTACAGTATTATCTTTCTAAGTACAGAATGTCATTTATGTATATGTTTGGGAGTTAAAAAGGCTTTTTTCAAATCCCCTTTGCATACACATCTCATACTCATGGAGCCTGTCAGTTTGTCCTGTTTGATATGTGTCTTTTGCATTTGATTTTATGAAAAATGTTTATTTATTCAGGTTAGCTGCAAAGAGCAATCTCAGTGCGGATGTCTTGGTCAGTAAATTGACTGAATGCAGCAGTAAATGGTCCAAATCAACTCTACAGTTGGTGCACCAGCTTTGGACTGAACATGGTGCTCTTCTACATGCACAGCAGGAGGTCCTGACAATGGCTAGTATTGGACAGGTGTGTCATATGATTCTTGCTTACAGTGTAAACGTCGCTTAACCACTGTTCTCTGGCAGGTTGTTGATATCAAAGCTTCTTCACTCTTAGCTTGTAGATATCCAGTGGAAGCTTGGAATGGCAGTGAGCTCAGATACCTGCCGATCCCTTAACTCCCCGTTCATCTGTGTTCTGATGAAAATTGCTGACACATCAGGAGAGATGTCATATAAATCCTTTGAGATGACAGTTCAGCAGTTTCAGGTATGGAAGAATGCAGTTTTCTAATTTCATTTAACTGTCTGAACTGCTGCAATTAATCGTTCTCTTTCTGTTATTTTGTCCCTCAGAACTTCTACAGGCAGTTCAAGGAAATGGCCTCTGTTTTAGAGACGGTTTAATGTTTTTCTGCATGTGATTTTTACAGCAGTGATTATGAACCATTTTGTCTATGACCAAATATTTGCATACAAGTGCAGTATTTAACAGTTTAACAATGTAAATTTGTTGAATTTTGCACTGAGCTTTTGTTTTTATTCTACTGTTACAGTAGCTACAAGGTTAAAATTCTTACTTTATCATAATAAATAATGGTATTATGTTAGAAAATGTCAGATTTCTTGTTTTTTTCCCCTCTGTGGATCATCATACATTTCCATTTGTCATTATTATTGATCTTCATAATTGTCTTCAGTGCCCCACTTCTAATTGATTTTTCCACTTTCAAATAACAAGTAACACGAGATGCTCAAGCACATGAATTTCTTTAGAGTGGAATACACTTTTTCATTAATAAAAATATTTACTCAATCAATATTTTGTATTTTGTTTATAGTCCTTTTGAATTTGTTGCACCTGATAAACAGTAATCACAATGCTTAACAGTAGGGATGATGTTGGATTTGGTTTAGTCCAAAATTCAGTAGATTAGATTTTTTTTAATTAAAAAGGCAGAAGCCAGACACTACAAAAATCAGGTCATCCTGTTTTTGTTTTTTTTTTGTAGTGTCTGGCCTTTGCCTTTTTATTTTTTTAAAAAAATCTAATTTGAGCAGATCTGTTGTCTTCTTCACTGCAGGGCTGATCTGCTGTTGTTGTTTTGGCTGAAAGATCCCATTTAAATATTTGAATTTGACTTTGCAACACAGCAGCGAAAAAGAGAAATAATCCAAGGGAGCTGAATACTTTCTGAATGCCTGAAACGCATGCCTAGAAGCTCTTACAGGCTACATGTGATGATGGGCTACAGTGGAACTCTGACGGGTTACATTTACATGTGTCTCATGTTCATCTATTTCTGGGAGTGGTGCTTCTTATTTAGTGTCTTGTCTAAAGCTGGGCACTTGTTCAACATTTGAAGACAAAAATAGTACCATGAGAGAACTCTTTAAAAATGTTTTTTTTTTTCATTTTAATTTAATTCAACAACTGATCCTTTCATGAAAACCTACATAAAATTATGCAAATTATTATACAGGTCCTCAGTTGGCCTTAGTGTTCTGAATCTGATATCTTATAATAAATATATAGTAACAGGGGCGTCGCTAGGCCATTTTTAGGGGGGCTATAAAATGACTACTCAGCCCTCCTAAGATTTTGCGATTAGCTCCATAAACTGTACACAAATTCGTGATCGCCTCAGTCTCCTTTAAATTTCATATGAAAACAGCGTCAGACTTCGATCAGCTCCTCCTCGTCTTTCAGCTCATTCTTTTTCAATCCGCAGACTGCAGCGGCGCAGAGCTACAGCGGGCAAGGTGTGTGTTTATCGATAGATTGTTATAATATCTGCATCTGCGCAGTTCTTTCTAATAAATACATTTTTAAAAATATCATGGGGGAGCAATTGGTTCCACATCTACTGTAAATTTTTCGCTGCATTCACCCCTCATCACACCACAGCAGTTTCCTCCAGTGAAAATTAAGCACATATGAATGCATACTTTATAAAACGATCATGTTGTTGCCATTTTCATTTGAAAAACTTTCAATGTAATACATATTCCGGTGCATGTGGCAAAAAGGTTTGCATACTTGAGCTAAGGAAAGAGGGTACTAGAAATGCAAACAGTAAAATGTAGTGTGTGTACAGTAAACAGGTGTCTGTGTGTGTGAGATCATGAAGACTTGTATTTGGCTTATTCAGTTATATGTTATATCTATTTATGCAATACAGCACTTTTTGGTATGCAAGTTTAGTATACCACCCCTATTAGTCAAACATTTTTTATATATATATATATATATATATATATATATATATATATAACAACGTTCGTAGGTCGGGAAGGAGGCGGGAACTGGCGAAGACTGCAAGACTGCGCTCTACTCCTGCCCCCCCCCTCCTCTGGGGGAGCCAATTACGGCGGCCGTGGCGTACCTGGGGGTAAGGACAGACAGACAGGGCGAGAGAAAAGGAGATGGAAAGATGAGGTGAGACAGAGACGAGAAAGGGGAGAGCGAAAAAAAAGCTCCTCCTCGTCTTTCAGCTCATTCTTTTTCAATCCGCAGACTGCAGCGGCGCAGAGCTACAGCGGGCAAGGTGTGTGTTTATCGATAGATTGTTATAATATCTGCATCTGCGCAGTTCTTTCTAATAAATACATTTTTAAAAATATCATGGGGGAGCAATTGGTTCCACATCTACTGTAAATTTTTCGCTGCATTCACCCCTCATCACACCACAGCAGTTTCCTCCAGTGAAAATTAAGCACATATGAATGCATACTTTATAAAACGATCATGTTGTTGCCATTTTCATTTGAAAAACTTTCAATGTAATACATATTCCGGTGCATGTGGCAAAAAGGTTTGCATACTTGAGCTAAGGAAAGAGGGTACTAGAAATGCAAACAGTAAAATGTAGTGTGTGTACAGTAAACAGGTGTCTGTGTGTGTGAGATCATGAAGACTTGTATTTGGCTTATTCAGTTATATGTTATATCTATTTATGCAATACAGCACTTTTTGGTATGCAAGTTTAGTATACCACCCCTATTAGTCAAACATTTTTTATATATATAAAGGAGATGGAAAGATGAGGTGAGACAGAGACGAGAGAGGGGAGAGCGAAAAAAAAAAATCTTGTTCCGGTTCCCAGACACACTGCTGCTCGGCCTTCCACCAGTTGTGTAAACTCTTCCATGATGCCAGGCGGCGGCCCGACACTCCTCCGGGTTTGGGCAGCCGGCAGGAGTCCCCCGTTCCCTGCTCCTCCCCATCATGGCGGATGGC